TGGAAATAACAGTAAGATGTGCTTTGGGAAGAATTAAATAATTCTTATAAAGATACTTAATACAATAAAAGTCAGCAATTATCACTACTATTTGAGAATTTTAATTTTAGAAAGCAAAACAGCATTTAAAAATAACCAGTTTTAGGGGTGCCTGGGTGGCTGTCAGTTTAAGCATCCAACTCTTGATCTCAGCCCAGGTCTTGTTCTCAGGGTTGTGAGTTCAGGCGCCACATTGGGCTCCACGCTAGGCATGGAGCCTACTTTAAAAAAAAAAAAATGTTCTTAAAATAACCAGTTTTATTAAGTACCAGAAAAGTAAGAAAAAGCAGGTACTGTTTCATTTTTAACAAATATAATGATGTATGATATTAATAACTCTTATTCTTTTATTCATTTAAAAATTTCGTACTGAATTCCCGCTGTCTACCAGCCACATTTGTAGCCCTCAGGAATATAGCTTCAAACAATATAGATAAAATCCTTGTTCCTCTTGGAGCTTACATTTTAGTCAAGAGTTAAACACAAAAATAAACCACATTTTAATTCATGAGGGTCACAATGAAATACAAAGTAGGGTAAAGAGATGGAGGTTGATAGAGGAAAAAGATGATATTTTATGTGGAGACATCAGGAAAATCCTTTTTGAGGAGGTAATAGTTGAGCAGAAATCTGACTGCTGAGTGAAATGAATGACCAATAAAATTGTCAGTCTTCACTGAAGACTAAATATGAAGAAATGTGAATCTATTCTTGGTTTGAAGGAATGCTTTTCTGTTGATTTACTAGATCAGCTAGTCTTTAAGTTAAGGTTTACAAACTACTTTGACAGAATAGAAGCCTCATCATATACTTACATAAGCAATACTTTGATACTGAAGTCAAAAATTATAGATACAGAATACCATTGTTAATTGTACACCAATGAAGAGAGAAAAGGGGGATAAAAATGGGGAAAGATGAAAGAAGAAAGAGTTACGTTAGCCTTCTGCTTCTATCCATGTTAGCCTAATTCTACCACATGGTAGCTGACCCCACATAGTGACTTCTATCAAGTTAAAGAATCACATGATACAGTCTTTCATAGGTTTTATGTGTTAACCCTATGCCAAGAACTGTGCTAAATCCTTTACCTGTATCAACAAAAGCATTTGATTATTTGCTTTCAGAAATTCTCTGATCAATAATGATGACTGATTGAAAAAATGGGAAGGAAAAACATGCCATTTATGAAAGGGTATTTTTGCTGCCAAGGATGATTATCTTCTTTCTTTTGTTTGTTTGCACTTGATTTTACTGTTGAGTTTAGCAACAGTAGGAAATGAATCCTAAAACCATTGTTTTGTAAGGGGAGCAAAAAATTGTCCAGTATTATTCATCCAGTCATATGACTTAAGTCATTTAACTTCTCTAGTGTTGATGTCTATAATATGAAAATTAGGTCGTTTGAATAGTTAAAACCTTAGAAACTATCTCTAATACAGTTTGATCAGAATTGTAAGCTTAGCTAATGTAATCATCATAGGGTATGTGGAAAAATGCTTATTGATGTTTACTATTTTAAATAGAAGCAGACATATGGGAGCGTCTTAAGTGCAAATACCAAAATTTGAAGTATTAAATAAAACGGATTTTTTTTTTTTTGTCTTGGGGGAAAAAAAAATCCCTGTGATTATCTTTGTGAGAAGAATCTTAAAGTTGGAATTGGCACCAATTTGGCCAATGTGACCAAATTACTTTTATTGGGTTTTAAAATTCTATTTCTTAATGTAAAGAAATTTTGAGTGTTTTATATTTTTTTGTATGTGCACACATATACATAGTCTTGGTTGGTCTGAAAAAAGTGACACAAGAAAATGTATTCTCTTAGACCCCTGGAAAAAGAAAAAACAGGAATTCCAGTTCTGAGTCATGGATTGTAATATAGGACCATTGACTAAATAAACGAGATGATTCTGGACAGGCTCGTAAAACTTTACTCTCTAATTTATTAAATATAATTTTAAAATTTTGATTAGTCTTTACAAGCCTATTTTTAAATGTATTTTTAAATAGCTCTTAATTTTTTAAGCTAAATTAATAAGATTTATTTTTCTAACCTTTTCTGTGTATTAACATATTTAATCTTCAGAACAGCCTTATAAAGTAGAATACCATAATTGTCACTTTACAGATGAAGAAACTGAGGCACAATGATGTTAATTTGTCCAAGGTCATATAGAGAAAGGGACTCCTTGGGGTGCCTGGGTGGCTCAGTAAGTTAAGTGTCTGCCTACGGCTCAGGTCGTGATCCCAGGGTCTTGGGATCGAGCCTCCCACCCCAAAGCAGGGAGCGCTCCCTGCTCAGCAGGGAGTCTGCTGCTCCCTCTCCTTCTGCCCCGCCCTCCTCCTCCCCCTTCCCACTCATGCTTATGGTCTTTCTCTCTCTCTCTCTCTCTCTGTCGAATAAAATAAAATCTTTTAAAAAAGAGAGAGAAAGGGACTCCGCTGGGATTTAAATCCAGGAGTGCACCCTTTTCACCACTATATTATTGGTATTGACTTTAGCACCAGTTTAAAATACGCCACAATTTAATCTCTGGTAGATAGCTAATAATAACTTTATCATAAATGCAGTAAATAAGCATGTTGTTAGAAGGCGCTACTTTCAGTTACTGATGGAAAAGACTTTGGTTTATTTGTGGTACATGGAAGTAAGATAGTTTGGACATAGGAAACAAAATACTTAGCTTTTTGCCAACTACTTTGAAAGTTAATAGTAAAAACAGTTTGACACAGTGCCAAATCAATGACAAACTAATTTTTTTTGCCCCCTTCCAAAAAAGACTAGACTATAATGAATACTTAAGTTTGTATCAAAATGTGAATTAATTTATTTTAATTAATGTTTTAACATGCAGTAATCTTGCAAATAAGGACTGTTTTTTCCCCAAGCTATTAACATGTTTTACCAGCTGATCTTTTTCCTTTGTCTGTGCATACATATACATAGTCTTGGCTTGTCTGAAAAAGAAGTAATAGAAGGTAAATAGAAGACTTCTCTTTTAATAATTCCTTGGAATCAATTAAAATTCACTTTAATTAACAGATGAATGCTTATTTATAAGCAATTGTGTGCATAGATCTGCATGAATTATGTCAGATTGATAAAGATTTCTTAGTTGACTTCCAAAAGTTCCTTGTTCTTTGAATATGCAGATGATATTAACAGTGAACAAACTTGTAAGAGTTAGACATATTACAGAGATACTCTAACCAGAAGAACAGTTTCCACCAAATCCTTAATTTTCCTAATGCAAACAAATTAATAAAAGGCTTTGTTGCTAAGTCTTTCTTTTGTAGGCAAGTATTTTCTTTTCAATGAATTGGTATGTTGCTGGGATTGGGTAAACATCAATGTAGAGTTGCTAGTGGCAGTTTAATTAGGTTTTTTTTAAGTGATTCAGGCTTGTGAGCTACATTTTCTATAAATTTAAATGTGCTGTTAATCTCTTGTGAAGATTTGGGGCACCTGGGTGGCTCAGTTGGTTAAACGACTGCCTTAGGCTCAGGTCATGATCCTGGAGTCCCAGGATAGAGTCCCGCATCGGGCTCCTTGCTCAGCAGGGAGTCTGCTTCTCCCTCAGGCCCTCCCCCCTCTCATGCTCTCTCTCTCTCATTCTCTCTCTCTCAAATAAATAAAATCTTTAAAAATAATAATAATAATCTCTTGTGACGATTATCCATCCCAAGTTGCAGGTTTTTCCTCTTCTAGAGACCCCTTTAAAAAGTCTTTGTTCATGTGGTTAAAGAGTATTGCATTTATCCTGTCAAACAGTTATTTGTGCACAAAACAAATGAGTAAGTGAGAACTTAGAATGCGTCATTAGGGCAGAATTCATGTTGGTTTATTCTAAGCAGTAAAGTGTTTTATGTGCTAAGCACTTGACTCTTCCTACTGCTCTGGGTAGTTGGGGGGTAGGCTCTAAAAGGAGAAAGACTGACTCAAGCTGTCATTGATCCCTTACTCATTATACCAGTAGTGGTAAATTTTCTTTTCACCTGTGCTACGATTATCCTTTCTTGGTAGAGGATTCATTACTGGTCTCTAAAATCTGGAGTACTCCAGGGCTGTATTTCATGAACGTAGAACACTAGTTGTGCAAGATATTGATAGGTGTAAAATAGGAAAAGAAAAAGGTTTGTAGGCAAACCTACAAACGTAACCATGTTACGTTAAGATATGGTTAAGATATATTCAGTAGACCTCTTTACCATAACACTACCCAGAACTATCAGTGTGCTAATGTGCATTACGAATCTCAAGATGAGGATAAAGCATCTGGTGTTTTTTTAAAGGTTTCCTTCCTTCCTTTTTTTTTTTTTTTAAACAAAAGAGAAAGTCACTGGGCAGGAAGCTCTTTGGGAAACGCTATTCCAGACCAGGCTTTCTTAACCTTAGCCCTATCAACTTTGGGGACTGGACCGTTCTTTGTTGTGGGGCTTCCTGTGCATTGTAGCATGTTTATCAGCATTTCTTGGCTTTACATTACTAGATACCAGTAGCACCCTTCCTTCCCTCTGAGTTGTGACCATCAAAAATGGCACTAGACATTGCCAGATGTCCTCCAGGGGACAAAAATGTGGCTGAGAACCACTGTCTGGATTAATATTGCAATATTCCAGGGAGTTAGAGGGTACATTAACAATTCCTATCTCAGATTTTCCTTTTAATGAGGAAGAAACAATGGTCTAGAAAGTGGAAGCACAGATTAAGAAAGTTCAGTACATTCGACCGTAATAAACTTTCTGGGTCCACTTTATACCCTGGCCTGATTTTTTAGATGTACTTGGAGAATTTAATGCAAAAAGTAACTTCAAACTTTGCAGAAAATTATGCGGCAGAGACAAAAACATATTTTTTGTAAAAAGAGTAGCCCAGATATTTAAATTGATATACTTATGAAGATATTGATTCCACATTTCTAAATCTTTTTTTTTTTTTTTTTATGTTTTTTATGCAGGGCTATTTTCTTCTTTTTGAGTCTATGTTAGATTCTGTCCTTTATGCGAAGAACAAATACTTGGCAAAAGGAGGATCGGGTGAGTAAAAATTCTAGTTTTAATAATGTAATTTTAGTCTGGCAGAACCAAGTGAACCTTTGGATTTCAAATAAACTATGTGACAGAGAAAACTCCCAATAGAAATGAAAGATGTTTCCATTAGATGAAGCTTGAAGATAGTTGTTTACTGTTGATAGTAGAACATTATAGAAGATATGCAGGACTTCAAGTTAATGGTATCTCAAGAATGCTTTTTATAAAAATACTAGTGGTAGGACTAGCTTTGGAAGCTCTTTGCTGTTGAAATCAAAATCTAACAAACTCCTTTTGATTTTTAATGCTTATGACATTTAGTCTTTTTTTTTTTTTTTCCAATAGAGTATTTCATACTAGGTTGGATATTACCTACTTTACTGGACAATTTTCCATGACTTCACTAAATATATAAACCTGTCATCTCTGTGATTTAATGAGAACATTTAAAAAGTGATTGGTTTCTACTAAGTTTATGAAGTGCAGCATACCCGATCAGTATTTTTATACTAGACATACTGGATTTTTTATCAGTATTTTTATTAGATCGCAATAAATTTGGAAAGCTTTCTCATATTAATTCTGTATACTCTAAATGAGAGTATGTTTTGAGAATGTGTTTTTATAAGCCTTCTGCTATGAACAGTTATATACAAACAGTCCTTTTCAAGGCAGGGATTATGTTTTGTCCATCTTTTACTCTTGAACAAGCTCTACTGCTCCTGGAACATAGATAGAGCATCATGTAAGTTTATTTAATCAAATCATTAAAACTGAATTGGATAGCATCTGTCTCCCTTCATTTACCTCTCCCTGAACCTTCACTTTCTCAAAGCTTCAAGATCAACAAATGGTTTCTGTGGTCAGAGTACAGTTGATAAAATTGTTATGTAAAGGGGCGCCTGGGTGGCTCAGTTGGTTAAGCGTCTGCCTTCAGTTCAGGTCATGGTCTCAGGGTCCTGGAATCAAGCTCTGCTCAGTGGGGAGTTTGCTTCTCCCTCTCGCTCTGCCCCTTTCCTTCCCTTCCCTCCCCTTCCCTCCTCTCATGCTCTCTCTCTCTCTGTCTCAAATAGATAAATAAAATCTAAAATCTGGAAAATTATTATTTTAAAAAAATAGATGAAAATTGGACATTTTGAACTAGTAACATAAAGCACTTGATCGTAGTTATGCCTCCTGCCCATCCATATTCTGTGAAATCACTTTGGCAATTATGGTACAGTAAAAATCAGTGAGGCCAAAACATAAAGCACAGAAAATTCTCCAGTACAATAGAATTCTTTAATAATAGCTTTTAAATGGTTTGCCTATCTGTTTCAAAATACTTTCATTTATTTTATCACTATATTTTCTGCAAGCATTTCAAGATGTATTACTGATCTCTGACATGAACCTGGCTAGAATTTTTAGATATACTTTACCCTGCAAAAATTGGCTATATCTTTCTATAGTTGCAGTGGCTTTTTTAAAATGACTGTTATACTTAATGACTGAAACTAATTATTACCTACCATTTGTTGATTGTCTACTAGCTGCCAGAAACTATACTTTTATTTATATTATTACATGTCTAATCCTCACAACAGCCCTTTGAATTTTAGAAACAAAGGTGTCCTAGAGGACACATAATAAGTGGTCAAGCCTTGACTATTTTTTTTAAAGACTAGATCTGCCAGTTCCAATATTCGTGTTCTTTTCAACATCCCTTCTTGTTCCCTACTAAAGTGCACTTTATTGAATCTGATTCTTGCCTTGAAGTTCTAGGGAAGATTCAGGAAACTGTTTCCATACCTCCCTGAATGGTATTCATCGATCTTACTGAAGGACTGACAGCAACTTAATACATTTAAATTGAACTCCTGATGAAATTCATTAAGAACTTACAGCATGAAAATAATGAAGTTATAGTTGATTAAACAGTAGCAGAGTATTTCCCATCATCAGGGATGTAGTGGAGGCTCCTAAGTCTAGTTCTTTTAATTTTTATGTACCTAATATTAGCACTGAGGTAATCTGGAGGCATATTGAAGAGAGGTCAGCATTTAACTGCCTAGGCTGTGCCATTGAATGTTGCTTGTTAACAGAATTAAGAGAAAAGAAGGCAAAGTCAGAAATGAGTAACATGAAGTAGACTATTTAGCTTATTTTGTATTTGAGTATGCCTGATGAATATCTCCAATCATCTAGGTGCTCATTCTTCTGTTACAAAGCAAATTTTTCTTTATGTTTTTCTAAAAGAAAGATTTACTAAGCAATTAGTGCAATGATTTTAGAAGAATGATTGAATTATGAGAGAGGGAAAATATTAAAGATTCTTATAAACATGAAGGGACCACAACTGATATTTTCCCATGAATTTAGGTTCAATTTATGTCTCACTATATATACAGTGGTATGGAGGAAGTCCTTTATAAAACACAGTCAGCCAAAGTATTTCTTCTCCCTGTTATCACCAAGCAAATTCTGAAGTATTTTAGAGGTATTCATTTACTGCTATTACTACTAAAAATATAATTTTATAAAGTTAATGAAAATGTATTTACTAAAGATTGCTTCTATTTTTAGCTAAGATTTATAAAGCACTAGTTGTGTCAGGAACTGTAGTGTTTTACATTCAGCTAGGCTATAGATAAAGAGGAAAACTAAGGAAATGATTTGCTGTGGGCGGGGGAATGGGTTAAATACCCAATGGGTATAAGGAGGGGCACTTGTGATGAGCACAGGGTGTTGTATGTAAGTGATAAGTCACTAAATTCTACACCTGAAACTAATATTGCATTGTATGTTAGCTAGCTGGAATTTAAATTAAAAATTGGGGGGAAAGAAAGATATGCTGTGACCTATGCATATTTTTACAACTAGAATTAAGACAAAAACAAATGTATGTTTTAGGATGACTACATAGAATGTATGTATTTAATACCCTAACAATGTCAAATACTGTATTTTACAAAAATTGGAAAGAGAATGCAGGAGGAAGGTAGGAAGAAGTGTATATACTTGAGTTGCATTATCTTTAATAGCAGGAATTCATGGACTCTCATTTAAAGGTGACAAATCAAGTAATAGAATTGTAAGCACATTTAGCACTACAGAGTTAATATTAAAATAATACTATTGATTAAATTTAGTGGGTGAAGCTTGTGGTGAGAGATTCTGTCTTTATCTTGATTATGGTGGTGATTACATGACTGTATGTGTTTATCAAATCATGTAGAATACTACCCCGAAAAAGCCAAAAAGAGCAAGTTTTATTATTGTGTGTAAATTATACCTTAATGAAAGTGACATTTAAAAAAAGTGAAGTATCATTTCCCACCTTGAAGTCAATTGGACTACGACATGGTTTGATTTCTAACTCCCAAAAAATATATTAAAGCTGTGTACTAACTTTGTGCCCACCTCTGTATTTGCTGTTAGTATCATCAATACATCTACCTTTTGAGTTAAAAAAAAAAAAATGATGGAAAAAAGAGAAGGGGAGGAATAAAGAAATATACTAATTTTATCATTGTTCATGATAGGAAATTAATAAATAGTGTTGAAAATAGAGAACTAAAGGTATTCTATAATGTAATTACAAAGTTAGCTACTAAAACAAAAACACAAAACTTCCTAAATATAAGAACTAATATTTAGGAAAAAGTCAAAAAGACCATGTAGTGAACTGCTTAAAAACAAAAGAAAACAGAAACTACAAATGCAAAAAAGATAGCATAAAATGGTAGAGTATGATCAAAAAATGTTTTTCATATCCATCAATGTAAATGGGTTAAACTCACCTATTCAGAGAAAACGAATTTCAGTTTGGATCACCAAAAAAACCCCAATTTTGTGTACTTATAGAGGCACATCTAAAACAAAATTATTTGGAAAAGTTAAAAGGATGAAAAAAGATAGTTAAGTTAAGCAAATCCCCTCAAAATGAAAGTAGAAGTTTGGTGTTACTGATACCAGGCAAGAGAGAATTGGAGCAAAATGTTATATAATCAATCATATGAGTAGGACTTAGAGCTAAGGTATAAAATCATGCCCATATTCATAGATACTCAAAAGGTTTTTGACAAAGTACAATTTACATTCTTAATTTTTTTAAATGAGAAAATATGAATAATCACACTGGCTTATAATGGTAAAGTATATTTATCTCAAGTGAAAATCTGTATCATGTTTAATGGGAAAATACTAAAAACATTTCCTCTATAGTCAAAACAGGATTTGGATGGCCACTATTACACCATTATTTAATATTTTACCAGAGGTACTAGTCAGTGCTATTAGAAAAGAGAAAGAACATAGAAGATAAACCAAGAAGGAGAGAAAACTAATTCTATTTGTAGATTCTCTGATTCAAACCTAGGCACTTCAAGTGAATCAACTGAAAAATGATAACAAATAATAAAATAATTTAGTACATTATTGAGCTACAAAATAACATCATTAGAAATAAGCAAAACTTACATGCCAGCAGCTTTACTACTAGAAGAAGGAAGATAAATAGATGGAAATATAGATGTTCTTGGAAAAGGAGAATCAGTGCCATAAGGATATTGATTTTCCCAAAATTAATTTAAAATTTAGTGTAATCCCGGGCGCCTGGGTGGCTCAGTTGGTTAAGCGACTGCCTTCGGCTCAGGTCATGATCCTGGAGTCCCTGGATCGAGTCCCGCATCGGCCTCCCTGCTCGGCAGGGAGTCTGCTTCTCCCTCTGACCCTCCCCTCTCTCATTCTCTCTCTCTCAAATAAATAATAAAATAAAATCTTTAAAAAAAAAAAAAATTTAGTGTAATCCAAAACCATTGACATTTGTTGAAGACAGATGATAAGTACATGAGAGTTAATTATGCTCTTTTGTTTTTGTGTGTATTTGATACTTTTATAGGATAAATTTTATAAAATTGTAATTCCAACAAACAGGTTTGGTGTTTTTAATTAGGATTTTTAAATTTTTTGGTAGTAATGGCAAGGAAAACTGAGAAGGGCACTGGCAGGGGGAGCAGGGAACA